CATTCAGGGAAGAGTTATTCTTTTTACAGTAGGTGGGAGGAGGTGTGTCTAGGACTCAGAGGTTTTTCTATACCATCTCACGTCATTGCTGGGAGCAGGGAAAAGAGACTCTTGCTTCCAAGGAGAAGGGGTTCCTTCCAATCGAGAAAATGTGGCAGGAGGAGCTGTCCAGAATTCTTTATTGTCGTGGGCTCCACGGCGAGCATTTTTGCACATGAATCACTCTCTCTTTTGTATACTTTTCTTATTACTATTGTTGTTACTGTTCCTTTTCTTATCTCGTTGCCACTTCCAGTAAATTGTTCTTATCTCAACCTGTGATCCTTGCCTTTTGTACCTCCAATTGGATGTGAGTCAGGGGGAGACGTGTGTATTTTTTATAGTGGGAGTACTAAATTGGAGAATACCATTCCTAAAGCATGACAACATTAATTGGTGCCCAATGTGGGGTATGAAGTGTTGAGATAAGAAAAGATCTGCCCAGAGTGGACTGGAAACAAATTTGGTCTAGGCATTTTTTGTATTAGGTGTGGAGTCACTGGTAACAATATTGCTTGGTCTGTTCCTGTGGATGTGGTACCTAACCCTGAATGTATTCCCGTATATACTGCTCATGGGGATCTTTTTCAGAGCAGGGAGAGGGACCAGGATTGCTTTATTGCTGTAGTGTGTGATATCAGTTTATGATACGATAACATCAAGGGCAATGAGAGTCATTTGGAATGTGTATTCACTGTTGCTCTCCTACCCTTATCATGGGTGCTACCTTTGAGAGCCCGTTACCAACACATAATGCATCCTGATGCCATCAAGGTACATAGGGGCAGAATCCCATGGTATCTCTATTTCTGGGGTGACAGGGGGATCCCAACAGCTGACTGTACTGGAAGCTGAAGTGATCCTGACTGTGAGCAAATGGCAGAAACACCCCATTATGACTGACCCAGAAGCCCTGTGCATCCTTGGCATAGATTACCTCAGGAAAGAGTATTTCAGGGACCCAAAAGGGCATTGCTGGGCTTTTGGGATAGTTGCTTTAGAGAGAGGGGAACTTAGACAGTTGAATACGTTGCCTGGTCTCTCAGAGGACCCTTCTGCTGTGGGACTGCTGAGGTCTGAAGAACAACAGGTACTGACTGCTACCTCAACAGTGCACCATCAGCAACACCGCACCAACTGGGACTCTGACACCATCCATGAGATGATTTGTGAACTGGAGAGCCAGAGAGTTGCCAGCAAGACTTGCTCACCCTTTCATAGTCCTATATGGCCAGTGTGTAAGTCCAGTGGTGAGTGGAGACTGACAGTGGACCATCATGGCCTGAACAGAGTCACACCACCCCTGAGTGCTGCTGTGCTGGACATGCTGGAACTTCAGTATGAACTGGATTCCAAGACCTCCCAGGGCCTGGCTGTTCTGAGTTTCCATAAAGCATCTTCCTCTTTGGAATTACAGTTCTGCCAAATCAAGTATCAAATACATTTCCCTTATGTTTATAAACTCAATAAATGGGACATATCTTTCTGTTGACATAATGCCTAGTTTCATATTTATAGGATTGTTTTAAAGTTTACTTTCAACTAGCTCAACTAATGGCTGCATTTATCTAGAGAATGGTTTGAGCTTAAAACATACTGCAAACCTTCACAGGTTCAGAACTGCTTTCATTTGGAAACTTGGAACATTTTATTGACTTTCTGAAAACCAATAACTAAACCAAATTAATATACACCAGCAAGGTAGAAAAATATTCTTGGATATAGCTTTCAAAATTCTTTGTTTTGCCTATGTGTCCATTCTTCTGACTTATCTGACCATTATTTTTCAGGCACATTCCCCTACAGTTCTTGGCCACCTTCTGGGAGAATAAGCAGGGGCTTTTCCACATGGAGAGATGTGGGTCCCTGTTTGTGTGCATCTTCCAGAGCAGCTGGAGTTGCCAACACCATGGCTGCATGAGGACTCATGGTCGCTTTGGCTCTTGCAGGTGTAGGTGCTTGACTTGACCTTCACCCCATTGCTGGCAGTAGGAGATGGAGTGGCCAAGCTGAATGCTACCTGAAGATTCACACAGGACATAGGTAGCACTGAGGTCCCAATAGGCTCTTTGGGAAGAATGCAATAACTCAGAAATGAAGGTGTGGTAAGGAGAGGTTTGTGATCTCTGTTCTTTCAGTATGGGAAGAATAGGCTCAGATATTGCCTCTTCTCAGTACAGTAGATATACATTTTTCAGCAGCATGTCCTAATCTTCAGTATTGAAACTTGGACAAAGCAAAAGGAACTTTTCTAAGTCAAGATCCTCCTAAGAATTTAGTCTGCAATACAATAATCTCCCCAAATGGTCCCTTATTACCAGCAGTCCATGATGATAATGTGATGATTTTCCACTCTGGGATCAAGGATGTTTTGGAGATGGTAAAATATTTTCCTCTGCACTTGGCATTGCACATTAAACTGGAAAAAGCTCCTGCAGAATATTTGGAGAGCAGATCAGTGGTCCTCATTCACCAGTCTATGTGTTAGCAGAGATGGGCACTCCTCTGATAACATGTGACCAGTGGGTAGCATTCCTGATTAAAATTGCAATCTCAGACAAGTGCATATGTAGTTCCTTCATTGCAATGAAGATGATTGGTTTTGTTAGGTAACATGATAAAAAGCTGGTCTCTGCAACACAGAGGAACAGAGAGGGACAACAATGGGTGGGGGAACCCCAGAGGTATTTCCACGGTACTTCCAGGCACATCACAGGAGAGCCATCAGCACACTGAGGCTCATCTCCCCACTGAGGCATGAGGCTCTGAGCCTTGAGGGCTGCTTGCATGCCCCAGTGACAGCAGGATCAGAGGCCAGTTACTGGGTGGACTGTGCCTAACTCCAGCTACTGCAGGGATCCACACTGCATATGTATATATATATATTTCCCACTAGTACATCAATCAGCCAGAGGGGGGAACAGGATGAGACTGTTGGTGCTTGCTGTGGTTTCTGTCTAGGTTTTCCTGTGTGTACTTATGTGTATAGGTGCTGTATATGTGCCTATTGGGAACACATACTTCTGGTTGGCCATGAGAGCACAGAGCTGCAGCTGCCTTCTTCACACTGCTCAGCTTCTGGAGTCACCAACATAAAATAGGTTTTGTGCTAAATTTTTCTTGTATGAAATCCATGTCTGTTTGTACATTTGCTCTGTTGGATTCAAGCGATTTTGAAAGCCTTTATTAATTTGTATGTGCGCTTGCCATTCATGTTAGATGTTCTTTTGTGGTGTTGTTCCTGGCAGTCTTATCAAAGTGAAGAGCCAAATACAAGTGAATTGACAAACTGTAGAAATAGCTTTAGGGGTTCTTTACCTGTCCACATTGTTTTGGTCTATGGATAAAGTCCAGCCACTGGCACTGACACAATACCTCACAGCCTTGGGAGCTGGTACCAAGAAAACTGGCTTTGATTTCCTAGAATTGCACATAATCTTTAAACATATAAAGATGTCCCACTGAAAAAACTGAAACTACTCATACATTTCAATGCTTTGTGCCTGTAAGAACCAGTTTTTTACAATATGGGTCTTTTGACTACCACTGAATGCATGTGATTTTCCCAGCTCTTTACCAAATCAATTATATTTGTTTAATTTCAAATGCATTTTGTTGGGAGGGGAGAATAAGGAATCATTGTATTAAAATAGTTGATGAGTGGTTGGCTGTGCATGTTCTCTAGTTTGGCTTTTACTAATACCTGTCACTCCTAGATCCAAAGTCCTGTTATTGCTCTGCACCTGCAGGCTCCCCACTTAGAAAACCTATTTCATGTTCTCTGGAGAAATATTTGTTAAGACCAAGGTAAGAAACTCTTCAAACTCCATAGTTAGCATGGCAGCTCAAAGGCCTGTGCACCCACAATAAGAATTTGGGAGTTTAATATGTGAAGTTTTTAGTCTGTGAGTAATATTGCCTCCTGTAAAATATTACATATTGGTGAAATGAAGCTAATAAGCTTTTTGAAAATAAATAGTCGATTATTTTGCTCACTGTTTTGTCACAATGTCATGCTTTCTACTTTCCCTGACCTCTCAGGGAGACAGGAGAACAGTGTAAGGAAACATGAAATCACAGTCACTTCAGCCTTCCTCATGACCTGAGTCTGCTGCTTATTTACTATGGCCTTGTTCTTCAGAGGAGTACTCCAGCAATAACGATGCTCGATCAAGCTCAGAATAGCAGAGTTGGAACCAGTGTTGGGGGTTTGTCATCAAAGCAGTCTGATTTTCCCTTGGTACTGGGCTGTAGTCTCTTAAAATCCTTTCCCAGTTACAGCATCTCAAATTCAAATTCCCACAAATTGCTGGTGGCATTAAAAAATGTTGGCCATTTTGCATAACAGCATTGTCTCTTAATGTCCATTTACATGATGAAGTCATTTGTATTCTATTTGTATGTCTTAAATCCAGACAAAATATTTAAGACAGCAAAATGGTTAATTTCTTTTCTTCAAAGGCTGTTTTTAATTTTGAAGTGAACAAACACTAAACTGTTTTGCCATGCTCCAGGGGGAAAAATAAACCACAACAAAACCCCACCCAGACATGGTGTTTTTCTCCCACTTTAGGCAGGGTTGATATTCAGTATCTTCTTTTCACAGGTTCGATAACCATCACTGACAAAATGAAGTTTTGTAGCAGATCGCCCTGCCCCCTCCGAAGCCCAGTACGCACAGCAACACCCCCCCGCCCCCCTTCTCCCAGCCTGGCATGGACGCTGGGTGCGTGTGGGTGAGAGGACCACCAGTTGCCTCACCCCAGTCCAGCTGCACCCACGGGAGGAAGCAGCCACAGAGGGAAGGAAGCAGAAGTACCTCCCCGTGCCACTCCTCCCCTCCGCCGGGGAGCCCCACAGCTTACCGGAGCAGGGCATGCACCAGGCTGCAAGTGTTACTGCCTCGAAAGCTTTTCACTGGTCGTTACGTGCCAAGCCCACATGCTGCCTTGCTGCGGACCATGGCCTCTACCCTGGAGAATTTCATTCATTCTCTGGACCCCAGAGCCCTTCCCAGGGTCCTCGAAATCCAATCAGGCGTCTATTTCCAAGGTGAGCATCGAGTGCTTTCTGTCAAGGCTTTGTATTTGACATCAGGCCCCCCCTCCTGACGAGAATGTGGGGGAGGCAGAGGGAAGATGCTGATGGAGTTGTCTCCTAGCAGTTTCCCAGTTTTCACTTTGAAGAATGAGTGTTTGATCAATGGCTTTGAAAATGTCTTTGGTAGGGTGCGCATTTGGTCTTCTCACTGGCAGTGAAGAAGAAAATGTAGTTAGTCCTCATTGTATCCTGGAAAGAGTAGAGGAACGAGACATGAATTTGCTTTGCTCTTACACAGAGCCATCAATCCAGCAACCACAAATCGCTTCACAGAGTTTATTTGATTAAAGCTAGAGCTGCCATGAAGAGGTGCTTTCTGGCTCAGGGAGTCTGGAAAGTGACCGTGAGGTTATCCTCAAGTTCTGTCCTGCATTTGGCGATACTTCAGGTGGTGCAATAATACGAAGTGGTGGGTATGAGCAACACAGGTGGCATATTTTACTGTGTTTTCCTGCTGCAGAACTTTTTTATGTTTTTTTTAGTGCTGGGCTCTGCTTGCATACAAAACACAGTGGAAAGGTGGTAAAGAGGCTTGCATTGGAAGGAAAAATCCTTATCTTGGTCAGGGCATGGGCTTTGTTCCATGACAGTGAAAACATCATGTCAAGCTCATGTATCAGTCTAGGAAAAGAAAATTACCTCCATGCCACTACAAGGGGAAACTCGGGCTCCAGCTAAATAAAACAGAGAGAGTTTCATGACACAAGCTGAAGTCTGAATCAGCTTCAGCCAAATACCCATTTCAGGATCCACAATATCTGTCTTTACACCAATCTAAAAATCCTCATGCTGGTCCTTAGTAGGAGGAGACAGGAAGTGGCCATGGAACATCTGAACAGCAATTAGTAGCTGTGGCTGGAGTGGATGATTATTCCCTCCATGAGAACAGCCTTTTGGGGCAGAAAGAAAATGGAAAAGGGTCTGTGAGGGTCTGAGTCTGTGATGGTAGTGTCAACAACAACTGTCCATGTTGTCCCAGTTGCCCATTCTGGCTGCTCTGGAAACTGCCTAGGACACATGAATAGTATTAATATACAAAAAGGCATTCTGGAAAATACACATAACTAAAAATACCAGAAACTTTTGAAAATACACTTTTTCTGATCTTTGCTGTGTGGCCTGTTCAAGTTTTATGTTTTAAACTGGTCTGACAGCTGGGACTGAATTAAATTCCTGATAAGGAAGCTACTACCTAAGTGATGAAGAGTGGAACTGTAATTAAAAAAGGGAAAATCGCATCCTTAAGTTGGAGTAGCCACTATATTTGTCCCTTTCCACACACCTAGGAAACATAAGTGATATGAAAACAATTTGTATATATATGTAAATCTATGTACATATACATGTACATATATATGTATTATATGTGTACACAAAATATTGTGAGATATGTATATATATGTAAAAAATGCAGTGATAAAATGATAGTAGCCCAGCTGTCTGCATATTTCTGAGTTCCAACTTGCTGCTCATGGATGGTAAAATTCATATCAGTAAATCTTTGTAGCTGGGGTATTTCAATTTGTGCTTCCACGTACTGTGTAAACCCTTCTACATGAGGAGGAAAAACCAGTGGCAACTTAACCCACAGCCCATTCTGCAGCTGTGTTCTCACATGTGAGACAAAAAAGCTATTAGCTGACTATAATAAAAGTGCCTGCACAGCCTTGGGAGGGGGTGGTATGTGCTCTAAAGACCCGGGAATATTTGCATTAAGAAGTGTGCTGCTCTGATGCTTTTTTTGATCTTCAGCAGCACCACCTCTTCCTGTCCTCTGCTCCTGGTGGTTTCTCAACTGTACTCATACATGTTCCACCTGCAGAGTAGATGCAGCACTAGCATAGGTGCATGTGTCTCTTGCTTAATACAACATGCAAGACTGATACAGACATGCTACTTGGCTCCTTCCCCTCACAGTCAACATATCCCAAGAATACTTGTAAGTACCTAGAACACCAATATCCCATAGCACACTTATGGTGGTTCCTCTTCTTCCTTGCTTCAGAGGAAGTCTGAGATTCTCAAGACACTTGGTGCCTGATAGGCTTGCAGGATCTAGGGCTACAAAAGATCTTCTCGGGCCAGGCCCTCTCTTCCTCTCGCTCCCTCCATGAGCTCTCTGTCCCTGTCAGATCTCTCCTGAATATTTTGCTCCTTTCTGTACCTGGCAGCAGGGGTGAACATACTGTTCTGTGATTGCATTGTGTTTTATGTTGCTTTTTCTGAAGCAAGAGTAGTGCTTCAAAGAGAGTCTGAAGTCACTCCTGTTATATTGCTAAACAGGAGAATGAACTACTTTGAGCACTTCAAGCTTCCATTAGGGCAACCATTCTTCAGCCCTTCCTCAAGCAGATTCCCCCACCCCTGCGACAGCTTTTTTTATCTCTCTTACCCCATGTGGTACACCAGCAATCACAGTGTGGGTAATGGCAGGTCCATCAGCTGGGATGGGTTTATTACTATGGTTGCAGGGACCAAATCTGAGCATTTGTGCATTGATTGTAGTAGCTCCCAAACGGCTACGCAGTCAGGCTGGTCAGCTGAGTGGTTTTATGGAGTGGGATTTCCCGAATCTGTAATCATTCTCAGCACAAGAGGCAGATAGTAAAGGAGAAGAGCTATTTTTAAAGCACTGCGTATGATTGTTTGAAGCTGATCAATCACAAGGCATAATTAATTTTCCTGTGAAAGAATTTAAAATAGCAATAATTTGTATATATGTAAACATTAATATGTATTCTTCTCTCTACAACCTCTGAAAAAAAAGGCAAAGTTTCTTAATGTCAGCTTAACCAGGTACACAGAATGGCTAATGAAGTAAATAATAGTCTACTAAATCCATTAGAGCTGTCACATCAAAGTTGTAGCAGCCAAACAAAGAAGGCTACCAGCAAGCTATGCGATAAGAAGACAGCAAAGTGATTCATTTACTGTTCTGTGGTACCTTGTGTGCTATAGGGATGAAACTCTCCATTTACTCTGTCTGGAAGAAGTGTTTTTTACACACTACACTTAGGTCTAATGATTTTACAAATTGCAAATTAGCCTTGTGGTGCTTGACAGATTTTAAGGACCTCTGAAAGCATAAAGAAAGCATAATGCTTTGTAAAGATGGATGTATCTTTTTCCATGTGGTAAGGTACTTTACTTAGAAACTACAAAGTCAGGCTCTAGGAAAAGAGTGTGAATTTTTTTGCCTTGGGCAAAGTAGCATCTCCGAAATAATCCGTTCTGCCTTTATATCCATGTTATACCAAGTACAATCTAGGTCTCTGCTTTCAGACCCAAGCCTGCCCGCTACCATTCCTGATGGAGAGTATGTAGAAAATGTATGCTGTGTGCACTCATTCTATCATTAGTCTCTTTACTAGCCTATAAAAAATTATGTTCCTGCTGATAGTAGTGAAATGTTATGTATTTAACTTTAGTTCTCCAAACTGCAAATGGACAGGACTTTATAGACTCTGCTTCCATTCGGAATACTTTCAGCTAGAAAAGCTATAGGTAATTGAACTTTTACTGTTGGTAGTGAATACTATGAAGTAGACACCTTTCTGAGGAAGTTCTGTTCCTGTTCACATGTCTGTTCCTGGCCTGAAGCAGAGGGAAGGGTTTCCCTGGGGTGATATCAGTAGTTTTCATGCTACACCTGGACCTTGCAGTTGTTTAAAGCCTTACCAGTTTGCCTCTAGGCAGGATACCAAGGTCTGAGGAGATTTTTCATACTCTCATGTTCCTATTCCCCTTTCCCTCCAACCATGTGTGTGGGTGCATAGTCGGAGCCCCAACCTGCAGTCATCACCTACCACTGTCCAACACTGTGCAGAGTCAGGAACATGGGGTATTAGTAATAGCCCTGAATTCTTCCAAAGTGCTTTTCATTCATCATACTCAAAAGACCATACAGAAGTAGAAAAATTATTGTCATCCCTGGTTTGAAAACAGAAACAGAAGTGAAAGGAGATGGTAGTTCTGCAAATGCCAGGGATGCCTGTCGGGATAATAATTTCGGACTCTGCAGTCATAATGTCATTGCTACAGAAACTGGACTGTAGTGTTGAATCTCTGAAGGGAATAGGAAGGCTGATTATAAAACGAGAGCAAGTCTGCCAGATACAAATACCTTGGTAATCAGCACTGATTAGAAAAAACTACAGTGCAGACTGAAGTACATGACAATTTAATAGCTCATTAAAATATGTTATTAAAAAAATTAAACTGCTGAAACTCCATTGGGAACTGATTTGATTGATCAACTATCTTTCTGTGAACATTTTAGTAAATATTGATACTTAGTGAGGTAAGTACTGTCTGACCACTGATTTTTACAGATAGCATGCAAGTGTGGGCTTTCATCTTTATGTTGCAAAATTTATGTCTGTTTTAATACTGATATAATTATTTTATGGGTAATTGAATTTAATATTCTGCAGGCTTAATTTAACCAGTGGCAGAACAGTAAAAAGTGTCAAACTTTAATTGTGAAAAATGTAGAACTGCTCAAGGCAGCTATTTTGTTGGTGTTTCCTGTCGTTAGCCTACCCACAGCCTTCCCATTCTTGCTCCACCTAAACAGAAATCCCACATTGGTTCTTTTTTATTCCCCTAAACTAAATACACACATCAGCGATGGTATTCTCCCATTCCCCCAGGGATTGAGACTTGCCAGAGTGCGGGGAGAGTTGGTAGCTCTGCTCTGCAGCTCAGCTATGTGAAAGCAGCATGTGTGTTGTGTAAATTGCAGTTCTGGGACATCCCCTCTTTTCAATGGACCTGTGAAACAGATTGGGAAACCCTATGTTTCCTGCTCTTTCTCTGAGAAGGGAACTCTAAGCCAGCAGCCAGCCTCCTCCTCTCCAGGCTGGGTGTGCAGCATGCTGTAGCTGTGGTGCTCTATGCTTTCTGGAAAGTTACAGGTCTCTCTGTGTGGGGAGAAAATGTTGGGAAGAGGC